AATACGGAAGAATGAAGGATGAGTAAATACGGAAGGAATGAAGGATGAGTAAATACGGAATGAATGAAGGATGAGTAAATACGGAATGAATGAAGGATGAGTAAATACGGAATGAATGAAGGATGAGTAAATACGGAATGAATGAAGGATGAGTAAATACGGAATGAATGAAGGATGAGTAAATTACGGAAGAATGAAGGATGAGTAAATACGGAATGAATGAAGGATGAGTAAATACGGAAGGAATTGAAGGATGAGTAAATAAGAAATGAATGAAGGATGAGTAAATACGAATGAATACAATGAATGAATGAAGGATGAGTAAATACGGAAGAATGAAGGATGAGGGAATGAAGGATGAGTAAAATACGGAATGAATGAAGGATGAGTAAATACGGAATGAATGAAGATGAGTAAATACGGAAGGAATGAAGGATGAGTAAATAAGAAATGAATGAAGGATGAGTAAATACGGAATGAATGAAGGATGAGTAAATACGGAATGAAATGAATGATGGATGAGTAAATACGGAATGAATGAAGGATGAGTAAATACGAAGGAATGAAGGATGAGTAAATATGAATGAAGGATGAGTAAATACGGAATATGAAGGAATGAAGGATGAGTAAATACGGAAGGAATGAAGTATGAGTAAATACGGAAGGAATGAAGGATGAGTAAATACGGAATGAATGAAGGATGAGTAAATACGAATGGAATGAAGGATGAGTAAATACGGAATGAATGAAGGATGAGTAAATACGAAGGATGAGTAAATACGGAAATGAAGATGAGTAAATACGGAAGAATGAAGGATGAGTAAATACGGAAGGAATGAAGATGAGTAAATACGGAAGGAATGAAGATGAGTAATACGGAAGGAATGAGAAGGAATGAGTAAATAAAAATGAATGAAGGATAAGGAGTAACGGAAAGGAATGAAGGATGAGTAAATACGGAAGGAATGAAGGATGAGTAAATACGGAAGGAATGAAGGATGGGAATGACGGAATACGGAAGAATGAAGGATGAGTAAATACGGAATGATGAAGGATGAGTAAATACGGAAGGAATGAAGGATGAGTAAATACGGAAGGAATGAAGGATGAGTAAATACGGAAGGAATGAAGGATGAGTAAATACGGAAGGAATGAAGTATGAGTAAATACGGAAGGAATGAAGGATGAGTAAATAAGAAATGAATGAAGTATGAGTAAATACGGAAGGAATGAAGGATGAGTAAATACGGAAGGAATGAAGGATGAGTAAATACGGAAGGAATGAAGGATGAGTAAATACGGAATGAATGAAGGATGAGTAAATACGGAAGGAATGAAGGATGAGTAAATACGGAATGAATGAAGGATGAGTAAATACGAAGGAATGAAGCGATGAGTAAATACGGAATGAATGAAGGATGAGATAAATACGAGAAGGAATGAAAGGATGAGTGAAAATACGAAGAATGAAGGATGAGACGGAAATGATGAAATGAAGGATGAGTAAATACGGAAGGAATGAAGGATGAGTAAATACGGAAGGATGAAGTATGAGTAAATACGAATGAATGAAGGATGAGTTAAATCGGAGGAATGTAAATGAGTAAATACGAGGAATGAAGGATGGATAAATACGGAATGAATGAAGATAGTAAATACGGAAGGAATGAAGGATGAGTAAATACGGAAGGAATGAAGGATGAGTAAATACGGAAGGAATGAAGGATGAGTAAATACGGAAGGAATATTAGGTATGCAAATCTGGACAAGATGAGCGGAGAGAAGAGGCACTGATAAGCTATGTGTCGGTCGTGTTAATCTACGGGTTTTAGTTCAATTAGAAAGCTTGTGAGAGCATTGGTTAATGTATGCTTAATGAAAGGCGGGTTTTGATGAAATTAGAAATGTTTTCCAGATGCAGGATGGCTCCTCTTTCGTTATCCCTCTCTCTCTTCCTCTCCGTTTTCTTATTCTGTCTCTCCTCTTCTCATCCACTTCGTCTCCTCTTCTGTGTCTCTTTTGTAGGTTTCTCCTCCTCTCCCTACATTCTTCCTCCTCTTCCCTCCCCTCCTCTTCTTCAATCTCCTCCTTATCCCTCTCTCCTCCTCCCCTCTCTATTTCTCTTCTCTTCCTCTCTCCACTTTCCCGCTTCCTCTCCTCTTCCCTCTCCTCTTCCTTCCTCCTCCTCCCATTTTCCCCTCCTCCCCCTTTTTCCCTCTCCATCTCTTCCTCTCTCTCTCTCCTCCCCACTTTCTCCCTTCCTCCTCCTCCTCTTCTTCCCTCTCCACCACTTCCGTCTCCTCCTCTTCCTCCTCCTTATTTCTAACCTGAAGACACGGCAGAAGGCCCAGAGAGACGAGCACGGGTGGGGAGGGGGGGGGCGAGGGCACAATTCCTAAAAGGTTGGATGTGGTGAGATGGGGGGAGGGGAGGGGGGGGGGGCTGAGGATGCCTGCTTTTGGTACGCGTGTGAGTATGTGTGAGAAGGGGGGGGGGGGGTCTGCGCGTGGGTAGACGAGGTGTGTGTGTGTGGGGGGGGGGGGTTGTGGACGAGGTGAGAGAGAAGAGAGAGAGAAGAGAGAGAGAGAGAGAGAGAGAGAGAGGAGAGAGAGAGAGATGAGAGAGAGAGAGAGAGAGAGAGAGAGAGAGAGAGAGAGAGAGAGAGAGAGAGAGAGAGAGAGAGAGAGAGGAGAGAAAGAGAGAAGAGCATGTTGTGTGTGGGGGGGGAGGTGGGACTGTGCGAATGGGAGAGAGCCTAGTATGCGTGTGGGACTGTGCATGTGTGTGTGTGTGTGCGCATGTATGTGTGTGTGTTTACGTTTGGAGTAAATGTTTGTATGCTTAT